TCAGCGTGTTTGACTTTCTTAGACTAGTTTGACTTTGACTTTGTATTAATATGTTGACCATATAAATAGGGTGGTAATCTTTGTAATTAGTAAGTGAAGGGAGCTAATYGTAATATTCAGATTAGTAATAAGAGGATTGACTGAATTGAGAGGATTGACTTTCTCTCTCAATATTCATATATGTGTTCATAGTGTTCTTAATGCAATATCTATGAATCTGCCATTGAAGGAAGCTTAATATGAAGATTGATCAATGTTATTGTGGACACACACTTGGTATTTCAAATCCAATCCCGTCGGATTCTCCTGCTCTAATTTGAAATCCAGCGCCGCATCCATCATGCCCTCTCGCTTTGATCAAAGGCAATGCTCTTTCGCATGTGCTCTCCTGGTGCTCTCTTCATCTTTTACCCTTTCTCCTCTTCCCTTGCCTTTTCTCTCCCGTTCACAAATCCCCCGGTCTTTCTCTTTCTAAACCCACCCAATTTCCCTTTCATTTTTCATTTAATTTTAATGTTGGAGATCTATGGCGACAGAGATTCCTGAGCCTATGGCGGCTGAAATACCGCATGTGGCAACGGAGGACAAAAAAGCAAACTTTGAGGCGACTGAAACAACAATGGAGGACAAAAAAACCAGAGACAATGGTCAAACTCATAATTTAAACGTGGATGATTATGAATCAGCGTATGCAATTTGATCATGATCGGGGAATTGAGCACTTTTATCATATGATCGTGTTGCTATTTGATGTTCATCCACAAAGGAATGGATTTCAAATCCAAAATTCTACAAACCAAACATGATTTATAAAGGAATAGATTTCTGATCAATTTCAAATCCTACAAATCAAACACGATAAAATGATTTCAAATAGACCAAATCCCTTCAAATCTAAATCTCTCCATAAAATTCCAATCCCCAAAAAACAATCTTGCAAACCAAACGGACCCTGAGGTCCCGTTTGGTATGCATGAATAGAATGAACTTGTGAGGATTTGGATTTCAAACTCATTCCAATCTCATGTTTGGTTTGTTGGATTGTTGGAATTTGAAATTTCAGGATTTAATTGAAATCCTAAAAACATAAAAATTTGTAATCCTTAGGGGGTGTTCGAGATTTCACGATATCTCATACGATTATATAAAATAAGGTTTTAAAAAATATTAAAACATTTATTTTGTAATAATCGATTAATAAAAATGTACTTTATAATTATTTATAGTTTTTTTTTATAAATTATTTATGAATAATGAAATCCAATTCTATTTTAAATCCTACAAACTAAACACATCAATTATTTCAAATTCATTACAATTCAAATCCCTATAAAAAAGAAGTTATTTTTTATTATTCTGAACAATGAGAATCTTTGAAATTAAATGTATAGAAGAGAGAAATAAACATGAAAAATATTGAATATTTTAATAACATAATTCATATTGTAATCTTCAAAATAAAAAAGTTATTAGAGATGAATTTTTTCTTTTTTTTGAAAAACAGACATTAAATTAAAAAAATAGAAAAGGTACAAAAAGATACAAGAGAGAACCAAGACAAGAAAGTAACTTATTTCTTGAACTACCCAATTAGCATCGAATTAAAATGAATATAAATATATTTTTAGAGATTTTAATTATCAATTATTAAAACTAAATAATCATTTATCAAACACTTATCTAGTAAATGTTTATCAATAAAATTTAACAATATTGTTTACTTATTGGGTAAGATTTTAGTTTATCAAAACGTCATAGTATGCAACAATTTACTTGATAAACACTTACCATGGTAAGAATCGTCGTCCTCACTTACCAAACAAGACTGTTAATCTTTGTCTCGTTCTTACTGGATAAATTTACAAACAAGGTTATATTTAACCTATCCTTTTTAAGAAATACATTATTACAACAATAATGATACATTTTGCCACTACAACTCGAAATAAAAAGAGTTGGAACTTGTTTTTTGTTTTTGGTTGCTGAAAAACTCGTTCTTATCTACTTTTGATGATCACAGATTTAGAACCCAACAAAAAGCTTTCATCGGTCCCCTAATTTGGAAAAGCGGTTTGATCTGATTTTGTTGATTGATCCGCCCCCCCAAACACAGCCGTTCAGAGAGAGAGAGAGAGAGAGAATATCGAGAGAAATTTGTTTGAATATACACAATAACGAGGGAGAGAGAGAGAGAAACGAACGAGAGAGAGAGAGAGAATATGATGGAATGAAGACGAAGTTGAAGAAGAAGAGGGAGAGGTTGGGAGATGGCAAGATCGGAGTTAGATTATACTTATTCAAATAATGGAAGAGGAGGGAGAGGAGTGCCCAAATGGTGTTCTTATAAGAGAACTACTGTTATCATATGTTCCATCAACATTGTTGTTGCCCTTTACGTTTTTCAGAATCTCTATACTTCTCTTTACTCCTACTCCTATCAAGATTTACACACTGGTAATTGCTTCATTGTTTTTGAATATTATTGATCTATTTAAGCCAATAATCAACTTTCTTGCTTATTTCCTTTTTGATAGCCTTTGTTTGTATGGATTAAAACTGGTTATACTGTTTGTTGGGTTAATTCTTGCTTATTCCCAACTGGGTTTTGTGTTGATTGTTCACAATTTTCAAGCGAAGATGAACCCTAGTTGTAGAGTTTGTTTCCTGTTCGTTTGATTGTTGTTTGTGCAGATGCGATTTGGAGGAGAGGGGGTTATGTAAAACCCACTTGTGTGTTTGTGATTTTCCAAATTGATTTTCAAGATTTGGGGGTTTATTGAAAACCCAGTTGTAATTCTGTTTATTGATCCTTCAAGATTTCCAAAACTTGATCGGTAATTCTGTTTCTGCTTGTTTGCCTGTACAGCTGTTACCTACACTCCAGATCAAATTAGAAATATGGAAGAATCAGTGCGAATACGAAAACAATCCGAACCTAGAAAGCTCATTGAAATGGTGAGAGATTCACCCTATGTTTTAATTGAATTGTTGCCAATTGGGATGTTTGCGAGTTGACGGATTTTCCAAAATTTTGTTTGTTTTGTTTTTTGGTCAAAGGTTAAAGAGATCAAACAAAAAGTAGATAGAAGAGAGGACATGGTTGAATTGCCACAGGCGTCGAAACAGAAGTTGATCAACGAGATTATAGAACTATTGGGAGGATTGAATGGTGGAGCCAACGCCACTTTACAGCATGGTAGGTTTATATTCGGTAACTTCACATGTGATGATGTTTGTGCATACTATAATGGAAACCCTAGCTAGTTTCCTACGTTAAATTTATCGTCAACTGATTTTAGAGCTAATATACTTGCTATTTTGCATAGGGGTGTACAAAAAACTGTCAACCCGTGAAACCCGCCCAACCCAATCCGCTAACAACCCAATTAAACCCAACCCGCCTAACCGTCAAACCGCCCACCCGCCAAACCGCTAACCCGTCAATTAGGAAGGTTGAAATTGGGCTCAACCCGCCCAACCCGCCGCTAATATATAATTTTTATAAAATTATATATATATGTTTATTATGTAGATATATATATATATATATATATTAATAATGTATAAATTTTATATAATTTTTATTGACATTATGTTTGTATTTCATTTTAGCTGAACGTATAGGTTACCAAAAGAGATTCACGATCAAAGAATGATGACAAATAATCTAACTAATAAGGGTGCGTTTGGTTTGCGGGAATGTTTTTGAGGGATTTGGATTCCCTTGAGGGATTTGGATTCCATGGGATTTGGATTGGATTGGATTTGAAATCCATTCCTCTGTTTGGTTTGTAGGATTTGGTTTCTAATACTTCGTATAATTTTTTTAACCTAATCCTGTGTTCATGAGATTTCAACCTAATCTGTCAAAATTGAAGGATTTAACCTAATCTGTGTTCATGTATATTCAACCTAATCTGTCAAAATTGAAGGATTAACCTAATATGTGTTGCATCCTATGTCGATTTGAATAGAAGCCAAAACATACACAAAAGGGATTTGAACAGAAAGTTGCATC